CACTATTCATCTATCTATAATAGAAGCCTTGTCAATCGAGCAACGACCGTCAAGCTCAGCCTGGAAAATCTGATGAATGCTCGTTATTCATTCTGTCTCTCGACGATTTCGCGGACGAGTAGGAAAGACCAGTAAACAACAACAGCAGCACTGGTCGCTTAGTATACGACCTCCACCTACTGCCAGCCATACAAGCTTTGATCCCCAAAGGTCTTTTCAAATAGAAAATTAGACCACGTCAGTACAAAACCCCACGTTGTCGTATTTCATTCATTAGTCTTCAATTATTTTTATACAGCTAATTGATAAATGAGAACAATGAGACTGAGTACCATCTCTAATTATGAGAATATAAAATGGAGAACAAAAATAAACTATAAGGAAACCTATAAACTTGATGACATCAATTATTAAAGAACCCAATTAAATATCTGTCGAGTTTGATTCATCCAATTCAAGTTGTTGCTGATGAATTTTTCACTAATTTTATCAGTTCATATGTTATTTCATATTTGGTAGAATCTAATGAAAGCAATAATTATTATTATTATAATAATAATATCGAATGAATATGATAATTAAAATAATTTTATATTTGTATGAACCATACACGAGAGATGATTAAAAATTTTTTATGATCATTAAAAATGAGCTTTTATTAATTACGAGAGATTGAAAGTGTACGTGATGAAATCCTGATAGTCTTGGAGACTTGTAGAATTTTTTTTTTATAAAAAGATGGCATTTCTTACGTGCCTAGAATTTAAAGAGGAACATACCATTGGAAAATCGAAAAATTCTTTTTAGAATTCCCATTATAGTGATTTGCCCACAGGTATGTGGCTGTGATAATTAATATTTTTTTATGTCAACTCTTATCGGATATCAATCTCTAAAAATTTATGAAGGATAAATGATAAAAATGAATGATGAATTTTTGATAGAAAAATATTTTTAAAAAAAAGTTATCTAGAATTTTGTTGAAGATTTCAAAAATAATGCTAAAGAATAGAAATATAATTTATTCGCGCTATTTTAAGTCAATCTTCAAGAGGATAGGCCTTATTACAAACTAGGCCGTATTTTCTACAAGTACTTGGAGTATCTCTTATGGTGAAAAAAATTCAACTTGAAGTTTCATTCAAACGTTCAAGTAGAAAGGGGATAAAAATTCTATCACGAATAATATTATTTATTTTAAAACAATATTTAAATATTATTTTAACAAATAATAATTTTTAATAAATAATAACACCTTCTATTCCATCAGTTTCAATAAAAAATAATAGAATAATATTATTTGTATAACTAATATTATTATAAATATCCCCACAGAAGTTTAAAGTAATAATTACACTTTCACCTGAAGAAATAAAATTCTCCGATTTACATCTTCCACCGTCTCGTCTGTAACTTGATTTACGGTCTAGACGTCTTGGAAATTTGAAATTATGATACTCGAGGGGTGGAAAGCAGGCAGGATGAAACAGAAATGGGAATGGTCGTAGGAAAAAATACAAAAAAGATAAGGTAAAGTTTCACGTATCCAAGGATATATTTATAGAGAAAAATAAAGTTGAAAAGCATGAATAAGTCGAACAACGTTAGCAATTGTGATCCATGAAAGTACAAGTATCTAACAATACTACGATTAAACCTAACACAACTATAACTACACATCATACTTGTTCATTTCCCTCATGCCATTATCTCTTGTCATGCCCAAGGTAATTTCAACGATGGCTTCCGTCCGTGTTACATAATAAAAAGACGTAAAATAAGAAGATAAAAGACCTTTTTCGACTCGTTATTTTGTCACATATAATAAAGATAAAGTTTTGCCAACTTGTGTAATACTTATTTATTGCTGTTATATAAAATATAACCAAAGACAAAGAATTTCAATAAATTTCAATTCATTGCTTTTAATCTATTTTTCTTAAGAATATAAACATTACAGATGTTGGTACTCCTTCTTGATAAATCATTTTGTAGTCCTCAAATTCTCACTAGGAATAAAGATATATTTTTTAATTATCTGTTTTGACATTTAATTTTATTTTTTAATTACTTCATTAACTTGAAATTGAAAACCATAGTAAAGGTAAGAACGATGGTAATATCTATGATAGAAATAATACGAGTTTTTTCATTTCCTTTATAGATGCAAAGTACTGGTGTCAAGTTCTGAAAAGCTTTTAGTACTTCTTCAACTATCTGTTAAACTTTCTTTAATATCAAAAAAGCCAAATATAAGAAATAAAAAACTTGGTATCGTGTAATAGTAATAGAACTAAATTCTAGGAAACCATCACACCAAGACTGCGGAAATACTTTTCATCATCATGTAAATAAAATTCATTACTGAAATCAAATAAAACTGAATTGACATTATTGAAAACTGTCAGTCAATAACAGAGAATGAAGAATAAAATAAGATTTTAATACAAGCTCAAAAAGCAACAGCACGTCTTAAGAAAATTATTGGAGCTATAAGACAGCAGATAAATTTTCACTTAACAAGCTTAAAGCGGAAAAAAAAGTAAAAATAAAAAAAAAAAAGCTGCAAAAGGAAAATCATGTCTGTTTCTCTACTCACAGTCTTCTCACCTCATACAAGGAAAAGGCCACGAACAGAGACATAAATTGGGTTCGTGTGAGTTAAGAGAATCAGCATTAGTTTTCCACGACTGTACGTTGGTAGTGTGGAGGCGGTTCTGCGCGTGAGGTCGCCGAGAGGAAAAAAAGCCAAAGAAGAAGACGTAGAGGCTTGCAGCTTGGCGAGTGAAAAACGAGAGGGAAAGGGATGCTTCGTGCTAACCAGTGTTCAGAGCAGAGTTCTGTCAGTGGTATAACTGCGGGTTGCTTGCAGGTGGTTTGGGGACTTGGAAAGAACGATACCTCTTTCCTTCCGACATCACCTCTACGTTTCTCCCATTCCCACTGGAACTCACGTCTGCGCTAAAAATAAAATGCAATAGAGACCCCCTTAACTTCGTTATTCCGACGCGCTTTAATTTCCACGCCGTCCTAGGTTTAACTAAAAAAGAAAAAAAAACACTGACACATATAAAAAAGAAGTAGAGAGTACATAATAAAAAGGAAATTCACGGGAAACAGAAACGACGAGGGAAGGAGCGATGATATGAACATGTAGGTAAAACGCGATGGAATTTTTATCCGGATGGTAGAAAGGAAATTGCGAAAATTGGAAAATGCAATGAACCGGACTGTTCACATCAATGCTAGTATATCGAATACCAGATTCAAATATTCATTCTTATTTTTATGATTTTTTTAGATACAGTATTTAGAGAACTACACGATACCAATGGATTAAATTTAATCTTTGGATAAAGGAAGCAGCTTATGAGATGAGAGCTTTTTTTATAAATATTAATTTAGAACTTATAAAATATTAACTCATTGAATCAACGGATTATTTTTAAAAATCTTCTCAATATTTCTCGTGTTAATAATATTTTTCATTATAATTATTTCATTTTTATGCAATTTAAACTATGAGGTATAAAAAATTTGATATCCAAGACCATAATCTCTAGGATTAAATGTGTGAAAAAAATCCCTCTGAAGCGGAAATGAAATATTTCCTTGTGAATACTCTCGTATTATTTTCCTTCGTTTTAGTCTGTTGTAAAGTTTTGAGCTTATCATAGTATGCACTCGGAAACTATTTAGAAAGCTTCATGTAGAACCACAACGCATACACTGCAGCATGCACAAAACTTATGCCCAGTTCCATGCGTTCGACTGGCTACTAGGTTAACCAAGAGGAACTTTAGGCCACCCTAGTGAATACAGTAGTTATACTCCTTGCAATAAGGATTGTTCCAACTGAGTACGACTGGTTTACCTTTGTCGATTATAAAAAATTTAAATAAAAGTAGCTTTTTTTCCTTAACAAGAATTAAATTAATTCTAAACTCTATTTTGCATGGAAATGCATTCTTATTTCCAGCTATACAATTATTTTAATGAACTCGAAGTAATGAAAAGAAGGATTTACATTGAACAAACCTCTTTAATATTGATTGTAGAGCAACAAAAGACTACTTTTGATGATTAATTGAATATCAAAATGAAGTTGAACATTCCTTTGCATCATTTAATTGCAATTGAGTTAAGTTTGATGATGACTTGGTTAAATATTAGGGTTCAACAACTAAATATAATATTCCATTAGGTCATGATAATGGACTATCAATCTATAAGATTACAGCAATATACATTATCAAAGGAGCTTATATGTAATATATTTCATTAAGTCAACCTATTAGTAGTTCAAAGCCACAACCTTTAACATAATTATTCATGGTCAAGCTTTATTGAAACTGAGATTACCAGTTATTAGGAGCATCGTTCAACATCATGCTGAACATGTGTCTAAATATTTCCTCCTACACATGATAATAAGAAGAACACGACGTAGACGGTCAAGTGGACGAGGTAAATACTTGTTGTGGTAGTAGTAGATCATTAAGCTGTTTATTCGAAGACTAACACTGGAAACCAATGAACGTTAGCGGACGTGTAGCTAATGGGAGATTATTTAGAAACTAATCGGCTGTGTGAGATGGTATTATAAGGGCTAATTTGAGAGATCCTGCCTAGGACAGCTAGCTAGGATTGGCAGCAGCGATTGAATGATGAGGTTGTCCTGCTGGATGGAGGAACAATGAATGAGGCGACAGATGAAAACAGATCTAGGTCTCTGATAGCATGTATGCACAGTATCAGATATTCAAGGTGTTGCTACAATTTCACAGTTGATCTAATCCTGGATGTGCAAACAACTCAATTATTTTTGTTTTATTTTTTTTTAAATGAAAATTCAAACAGTTTTTCTATGCTTTTGCAAAGAATTTATTTTTAAAATGTCTGAATCAAAAATTATAAATTGATTAAGTGTTAAATTAAAAATATGATTATTATCTCAGACTTTTTTGTCCGTGAAAATGAGTTTTTTCCTGCTTCGTGAATGAATTTTCAAAAAGTATTAAATTTATTGAAGAGATTGAAAGTCTTTCCCAACTTTATAAACGACAAACATGAGAAGCTTATTAAACATCACCCTCGCACTTTCTTTTTTATCTGAAAAAAATCGTTTTTCATCTCACAAAATTTGACACTCTGTAATGGTTTTCATAGCAGGACTAAATCAGGCATTTATGGGAACCAAAAAAGAAAAAAATGATCCAACTGACGAAGTTAATGTTGCAAATAGTAAAAAAGGTGGAAGAAAGTCAATATACCTACATCGATAACGTAATTGAAACCGTCGTTCATCTTTACTTTTTATCGCTTCATTTATCTCTTTTTCATTCACTTTTGATCTTGGAGAATATTAATACATCAATGGTAATTAAACTCACTTCATCTAGCCGTCTCCTAATCAATGAAATGTACTGGAAGAAAAACTTTCCTCTCCTATTTTATTAAAAGAACTTTTGAAGCCAGTGAATACGATAATTATTCATCGAATCGTTTTTATATCTGAACAAGCTATTTACAAAGATATTAAGTGTAATGATGTGTAAAACACTAGATATGGCCGTGGAGATAATTTAAATAGTATCATTAATTTAAATAATATTTTTCCTATTGATCTAAATTGAAGAATCTATCGATTGTGGTCTTACGAAAAATTTATTAGCTGAGATAGGAAATTTTGCTCATCAATCTACGTCACTTTTTTGTGAAAATGAATCTCGTCTACTCCAACTGGTGTCTGAGAGACTTGAAGCAGGTGATGCAGGGAGGGATCTTGATCGTCTTTGTTTCATTGGATGAGAAGTCTTACGCGATCTCAAACGATTGTTTCCGGAAGATTCAATCGCTTTCTTGGATTTTTCGCTAAGATTAGATTTAAGAGTAGACGGTGCTGGTGTTGGTAATCTTGCAAATCGTACAGCTATTCTGTTAGCACGGTCTAATTCATCTCCTGTAGGTAAAAAATAGTGGCCTCGATACCTTCTTAAAATTCCATACTCCACACCTCGCTTCAAAGTTGTTTGTACCTATTTTAATCAATAAATTTTGTTTTAATCAACGACTTGAGAGTCTGGAATTATTTCAAGGGGATCTAGAGATTTCATTTCCTCAAATCTTTGCTTGGATATTTAAATTTAAAAATATCTCAGGTTAATACAAACACCAAATACTCACTTGACGTTTTACTCGATTCTCAGGGAGATCTGAAGTGTAACTTATATATCCAGTAATCTTATTAGGAGTTGATCCTTTGGCTTCACTGAGCTCTTGAATAGCTGAGAATATTAACGCCGCTATTTTCATGGGTTTTAATTTTTTACCATTATTGGAAATTTTTTTAGACTTTTCAACGCCTTTTGCTTTTACTTTGGCCATAATTACTCATTCAATTTAAATGCAATCACAAAAAAGTTTTTAAAATGTCAAAATGAATTTACTAGAATTTTTTACGGTTAGTTAATGAATCTAAAAGCTCGCAATTGTTTTTTTCTTTGTCTACTCAACATGCAATAAGACTTGAACTTGGCTGCAATTATTGTACATAAGGAAATCATTTTAAAAAATTATCTGACTATTTTTTTATCTTAATAAGTTTTTTCTTCCATGTAATAGTCTCTATTTTTTTTAATGTTCTGATGTGATTTTGTAGCTAAGAAATAAATTTCTTTCACGACGAAAGATAAAAAAAACCAATTAAATTTTTTAGTATTACCGAAGCATTTGGTACAATACCTACATATGATTCATATTTTTCCTCCAGGCTTTTTTTTTATCGCCTTATCATAAAAATGGTAAATCTAAAGTTTACATCAACTTGCATTTTAAACACGCAACATTACACGAGTATCAACACTTACACGCAAAGGTTTTATGCATTAAAATGATGTGTATCTTTAGAAAGAAAAAAAAGCTCAGTTCTCATAACAAATTACTCGACGTTTCTGTATGAAATGTTATCAGCAACATGTTAATTAGTCAGTGTAATAAACACATGTCAACGCACTAAGAATGCATAATATTCTTTGCTTTAATTTATAAATACTATGAAATATAATTCTTGCGTGAAGAATAAAAACATCATAAATATTCCTATCAAATGTGAAAATAATAGAGCTCGATAAATTTTTCTTGTTATTTATATATTTTTCTTCAATGGAACATTTTAAAATAACAAATAATATCTTGATTGAATTTAATTGGAGTATAAATAAATTGTAATGAAAATGAAGGAAGAGTAATCCGATAAAAAAACATCGAATAAATTGTAAATTTAATAATATCAAACGAAAGTAAATCAATTAAAAGTCACTTTTCTCTTTTTCAGACAAGTACACAGACCCCTAAAGGGCCAATCTGATTTGCTGATTTCAGAGTGGTCCTTTGCAGCTACTGTGATCTTCCAATTCGCTTTAAATATTCCACGTAGGCATTTGGTCGGTAAACAGTACTTTGACTATCGGCCAATTGATGAAGCCGGACAAATTCTCGTCAAAATATTGATTAACACGAAAATGTAAATTACGATGTTTAATCATTAGTTAAAATATCAAGAAAAAACCCTAACGAATGTATGTGTACTGACTTGAACATTCATGATGAATTATTTTTATTTTTAATCCTATTATAAAAGAATATTTGTAGCTATAATAATGGTGGTGAAAACAAAAGAGAAGAGAACGGGGAAAAAGTAAATTAATTATTTTCATGGGCATGTTATGAAAAACTATAAAGCTAGATAATCCTGAAGGGAAACAAGGAAAAGTGAAAAAATCTGTAGGCGTAAAATAGAAAAAACAAAAACAATTTCGTCTGACAAATCCAACACACGTTTTATTTCATGTACATGAATAAATCGGAACCGATAAATGACTGTCGAGTGACGGAGTAACAGCTGGTGGTTTGCTAGCGTGGTTATGTAAAGCTTCAACGTGGCAAAAGAACCGCCAGATTAAAAGTCACCACGTTCCCTCCATTATTTCATGTGCCATTCCGATGGGACAGAAGACTTTTTGTTTTTCCTTTTCTACATTTTATTTCACTTTTATTCCTTTTTCCTCGACCTAAGCCAAGTCTGACTTTAATGCGTGAACAATTATCCGCTCAAGCGAAAGTAGTCCCCCTCATTCTTTGTCTTATGGATTTCATCGTTAACGAGATAACGATTGTATAATTACGACAATATTTCAGCAAGTAACGAGAAATTTTTGCTGCTTTTAATGAGAATTGGAAGACAGAAAGAAAAACTAGTCAGTAAGAAATCATACGTAAGTCTCGACAAATAGAAAGAGAATTCATGAGAGATTTGTCCAGAAAAATGTATGCTGTTGTCTCTCTTTCCATACCGATCTCTATCCTGAACACGTAATGCGAGTTCGGACGATCCTAGCAACGAATCTAGACTTGGCACGAATATTCCGGGGAATATTCTTTCCAGCTTCTGTATTCCAGACACAGCCTCGTTTGGACTTTCTATTCCCTCCCCCTTGAGACACGTTCGAGCTTCTAGATATCAGTAGCAATATTTTTTTCTCATATTAATAAGATTTACTATTATCGATTTCTATCTCTAGTAAATAAAAATACAGCAATGCGTCAAATTATTCAACTCAATATTCATTTGGAAATTTTATTGTCAAATTATTGCAAATTTGATTGCATAAATCATTATTCTGATTGAATAATTAATTTTGAATTGATTTTAAATATTGAAAGGACTTGAGAGAATATATTTTTTGGATACTCTTTATCACTAGAGTGATGAACAACTTTTAGAAAAAAAAAAGGAAAGAATTTCAAGTACTCCCAATTACATCCGGATTAAAATCTTATCTTTTTTTATTTTCTTCAATCTTTCTTTTTCACAACGTTTATTCTGTACCATTCAACATTCCTTTCATTGTATATACTACAGTTTCTCCACAACAAGAAGAAGCTTTTCATAGATTCAATCGATAAAACTTTCAATCGTTGAAAGCAAACAAAATTACATAAAAAATATTTTTCTTTTCAAGTAAAACAGCATAAAACAGAGACCAAGTTAGATTAAAAAATGCATTCATCAAGAAGATAATTAATGCATAAAATTCAAAAGGCCTCTACTTTTATCTGATTTGCTTCAAAATTTTTTTTTTCAATCACTTTGTAATAAAAATTTTCTTTTGTGATTGATTCATTATGTATAAGCTAGGAATTACATTGAATGTTTTTTCACAAAATCCTTTTGAAGTAAAAACAATAGCCAAGATCAATTACAACTCGAGTAACAGAAGGGCAAAATATCAGACACAATTTCACTAGTGATGAAACAGTCGTTGAGCGTTGAAGTGAAATACTTGAGCCACATCACGTAAATTATCAGCATTCCAATGCATCATTATTGAATTGCTCAGTTCTCGTCTATACTCATTTCTACCTTTCGTCTCCTTTGCCCATTCATTCCATCAATTCAACCTTCTGTTCCATGAAATCGAATCTCGTCCAGAGACAAGATGATACTTCTATCCTATAAAAACGTACCATTGAAATTAAAGTGAATATTAGCCGTCCTCGAAGACATTTAGCTACTTTGTTTGTTACAGAAATTTTTTATTGCATTCCAATGAAATGAAATAAACTGTTTGTTATAATTCCAATGCTTTTATACCTTCAGTGAATCAAGCTAATACAAATAGTCATTTTATCAGCCTAAAATTCTGCAGTATAGTCTAAAAGCTTTCGAGGCAGGCAGAAAGTAATATCAGAAAATAGCACAGTAATCGAAAGACTTGGAGTACGATTTCAAGTCTTCAGTTGATTTGAATGCACCATTCCACAAGCTTTCTTGATCCGATACTCTCTTTCGGGTGGCCCCAAAGCCGTCTTTACATCAGACAATCGATCCAGTATTATCAATTTCAAATGCAGATAAACCCTCTTATAGATAACAGTGCTGCAGTTTGCTCCAACCGCATTGTAAGTAGTTTCATTGGAAAAACTGAGTTCAAGTTACCTTATATACAAGCTCAATTTTATCAGAGCAATCTTAACTTTAGCTTTATATCATTCAAAATGAATTTATGGAAGCAACTTTGTACAAAATAGTATTATCAGTGAGCAGCCTCTCACGTTAATACCATTGGCACCTATTTTCGTATCCTCTTGATTAAAAGTACATCACAACATTCAACAACTCCGACCGGAGAGAAGAGTAATACGTAGTCAACACAACCACCAACTATCTTCACTGATATCTAGCTCGTTGAAAACACAATTACTCCCTTAACACACATAGACACAAAACTTCCTCGTGAACACTAAACACCTGGATACATAGCCTCTACACAAATGCACAATGTTGATGACTTTGCAACCAGTAAGGATCCACCGACAGAGAAGTTTGCAAGTGCAAAGCTTAATTGTTTGCCTACGAATTGTTGATGGTTAAAGTGAAAAGTTGCAGATAATTCGTAAGACTTTAACACAGGTTAGACATGTTATAAAGCTTTATTAATTCATAAATAAACATATAAATAATAAGACTCTACTCCTTTAATTTATTTTACGCCCTTCAGCGTCTCTCCAGTAAATTTTCAACATCAGTTGCAACAGTCATAAATCTCTCAAACAACTTTCAGTAAATATCAGCACTTTCAACGATCAACAAATTGAAAGGACTCATTTTTTAATCAATTTTCTCCTTTAAAAGTTTAACTATTGTTCTATTTAATTAGAATAAGTATGTAAATTTATGCTGGATTAAAATTATTCACAAAAAAATGAATTTTAACTTTTCTGTGATATTAAAAGTAGACTATTCATAAACATAGCCTGGTTTTAGAGCTGGAATAATAGTCTGTGATGGTTATTTTTTTAGCCTACATTCATTTCTTTCATCTAAATTGCCACATCGATCCCCACTCGACATAGTTTTACAGTTAAGAAGATCAGATGCTGTTGTTTTCTTTGTCTGTTTCCACTGAATTGAGTCCAATGGAATGATCTTTTGTTCCTGCTTCCTATGGAGGAGGCGATGGGCTTGATGCCAGGACTGGAAAGTAGTGCGAAAACTTCTTTCTGTAGCTTCATTCCCGCCCCTCATATAGCTGCTGTATTCTCTTTAACGCGTGTAGAACTATAGTATCTCGACACTTGAGAGTATGCATCCCTCTTGAACACTTGCCAAAATAACATGCAAGTGCTAGATTGTCAGTAGCTTTTGGTTGGGTGCAGTTTATTCGCCCCTACTTGTTCATAGTAGTATACGTGGAATATAAACAAGAAGCAGAATTATCATGAACGACTGTGGTAACGGGTGTGGGAATAAATTTGCAAGTATTATAGTCAACGCCTGCTTGACCAAATACAGTAAATGTTGGAAACTAACGAATGACAATGATCAAATGCTTCTTCTCATTTCTCTAATTTACTTCTCTTCATTTAGATCCTTCGTTTACATTCTAAATGCTTATAAATGTATTTTAACATGTCATGTTTTTGGTTACAGACCTTGGTCAAAAGAAGCCACAAATCTGAATTCACTGTGCTTAGAAAGCGTGGTAAAGCAGAGACAAAATCATGTTGTATTTCATCAACAAAGACTCTGGTGTGTATGTGTAATTTCCTTATCTACGGGCTAATGCATCCTGCCTCAACTGAACCACTGAGAATACATTTGCAATCGCAAAGCCCTGGGACCTGACCAAACATCAGAAATCCCATCAACGTCCTAGAATTCCATCCGATATCGAAATTCGGATCAACGACACCTCGAAATTCTACTACTAAATCTGGACTCTAAATCTGTTTAGCATAGGATGTCACTCAACACATTTAATCCGCTGTTTTGTTGCCAATACTTTAAGTCTTAATATTTCGAATCAATCAATGAAACATTCTCTGAAACAAAACTTTTTTCTATCAAGCAATGATACTAGTTTATTATTGAAAGAATTATTGAATCCAATAAATTATTGAAAAAAAAGACATTGGAAGCTTTAAAACTTTTTTGAATTATTGACGCTCATAAATATTAAAAATTTTCAAGTCGAAATTTATTTGATACGAGTATTCTAATGTAGGATAGAATGTCTTGGATGAAGAATTAGATTAACTCATGTCTTAAAAAATGTCTATTAAAAATCAACAATGTAAAAAAAATACAACATTGGATTTCGTAAATTATTCATTATTTAAATTAAATGTCAAACTTTAAAGAAATTTTTTAAAAGCTTTTCTTCAGATACCGAAATGCCATTCTAGTTATCATAATCTCGTAACTTATGTTCCAAAGGAGCAACAAAGAAAATAACATAAGACCAGTGAAAGAAATAAGAAGACGACTGAAAAAAACTTTCCTCATGAGGACTGCAGTTGCTTTGCCATCTGTCAAAGATGTATATATACATACTCCGTATATTCCAAGTCGATTTTCCCTTTAGAAGAAATATATTACTCTTAAAATAAACTGTAGAAAGTTTGAAATTTTTATTGAAATTCACAGAATCGTGAATTACATGAGTAAGTGCCGAAAACGAATGAAGCCTTGAAACTTCTTCAACATTATGCCAAATTCGTTCATGAATAATAGCTTTGGTGATAGTGAATCTATGCGTGTGGTTCAATTCGCCAAATGATTACACTTTAGTGGTATTGAGAGAGACTTTGAAGCAGACAATCTAGCACAGCAGACGACAACCACATGATTAGCTTCATTTGTGGCATACCAGCGAAATCTAGCCACATCCTTGACATCAATAGGCTTCCCTCAATGAGAATTGACCAGTAGCTTTTACTCATAAAGGCTCCAGAAAGTTACCATTAGTTGACTTTCCTAAATTAACTCATTAGTGAAACAAAGCAGATAACACAAAATGATGCCTTGAAAACAATCGTTTAAGAAAACATAGAAGCTAATGAAATATCAAACAGATTGATTAATTGATGAAATATTTGTCTAGTAATACAGCTTGACATTTATTTATTCCTTTTCAATGTTCTGGAAATCTATCAACTATCGACGCATCGGGTTATTGCCAACATTTTGAGTCTTTCAAAAAACATGATTTTTTAACAACCGTATATTTATAGTCGTCTATAAAGTTAGATAGAGAAGGTGGACATTGAACAGCTCGGTTTCGAAAGAGCAATTTCCATTTTTTTTAAAGTTTCCCAATACCCACAGGGGACATGTTACTTTTTTATAACAACACTAGATAACTATTACGTACGAACATTAAACAGTCAATATAAAAAAGGAAAATATCTGCAATATATCTTTAAAAAGCTCTGAAAAAACTTGAATCACCTTTTCAAAACTTTACACATTTATATCTCCTCTTTTTTTGAATATTATAATGAATTAACCTTGTAGTAGATTTTTAATTCAACTTCTTAATTAAATTTTCATGATGTTATCATGTTGGATGCTGAATAGAAAAAGTCCAAGTATTGATTGAATTGAGCTTCGTAATTCCACTCTTTTTTGTAGAATAAATACATTCACTTTAATAGTCATTTAAAAAAAAAAATGTCTAAACATTAAAAGTCCAATTTTGATCTATTAGACAACAAAGTGACAAGTGATACTTCATTTTTCAAGTAGAAAGCTTACTTGCTCTGTCTCTCCCAAGTGGAATACACCATTTCAGGTAGAAGCACCACATGAAAGTAAGACCCTTGAGCACGAGCGTGGAAATGTAGCGTCATGTCCTGAGCATAAAAAAGAGAAGCTTCTTTAGCTTGACTTTTTTTTTTAACTTTGTCCACAATTTTCTGTATTTTCACGAACTTTTTTTTCCTTTGCTGTTTCTACCTATCCGATAAAAAAATAATAAGATCTGAAGACCAGAAGCAGAGGAAAGTCCAAGATATTTTAATTTTTCAACCTCTAGAATTCTATGACTCCAACGATGCTTCTATTCTGCATCATGTTTTTATTTTTTAACTTCCATGTCATAATTTTCTTGCAAACTACCTGCTCAATGCAACGAAATAAACTGTTTGCTGGTTTTTTATTTTTACATTTACCTGTCTATGAAATGGTTGAAAAACCAAATACACATAACAAGTAAGCGATAAGCTTACAGGAATGATCGTAAACGAACATTGGCCATCTTCATATCCAAGGAAATTACGTTGTCTGTTTGTCGTAAAATTCCAACTATAAAATTTTTAATTAACAACTATAAAATACAATACATCTATCGATTTGACTTCCGTGATTGTAAAATGTAACGTGTTTCAACACGAACACAGTTAATGGATTATAAAATGAAATATTTTATCATAAAAAAAATCAATCCATGCTGACAGAAAATAAAAATCCAATCAAAAGATAAATATAGAATATTATTATTCGGACAAATAGAGTTGAAAATAATGTTAAAAAGAGTTTGATTAAAAAAGTTGTAAAAAGAGTATGAGCTTAATACTTTTATGGACCAAGTACGTATATTTTATATGTTGTAATCGTAGCAGTAACTCAGAAATTTATCCGTCGGTTTACTCTCGAAAGATGAAAGTCTACAATTGTTGCAGAGTTAGCTAAGGCTTTTGTCGGTTTTCTCTGTCAAGCTCTGGTCGAACATCGACCACAATTCTAGGATTTTGCTCACAAATCCCAGGGATTTTCAAGAAACTGCTGCAGAGGTGAATGAATTTACCAAGAAAAGTACTTTTTATATAACATGTTACTTAAATATCCACAAAAATAAAGTTTTACCCAAATACTTCTGCATTGTATTATGTTGTTTACCTTGTTACAACCTGACATCAACTTGTGAAGAAATATTTCCAATCATAGAAAATATTGGATGTACATAATTGATATCAATAACTTTTATTGACTAGAGTGAATAGTGATCGTTAATATCAAATACAGAACACGTGACAAAATGACTGCACGAATAGAAGTACGATGTAGAATATTTCAAGGCAAAAGCTATTAGGGAATGACGAAATATCTTATATATGATAAAGACTTCATAAATATTTTCAGAATGTAATAGCTAAATACGCCGATCAATTCAATAATAGTATTGAAAAGAATTTCATCCAAGAAATTATACGAGTATTAAATTTTTTTTAGTCACTCAACATGATTAAATTTTTTATGTTCTGTATCATTTTCTCTATTATTGCTTCAACTCTCTGGTAAGATGTAAGAAATATTTTATTAACGTCAGAATAGATCAGTGTGACATGTGCTCGTGTAGAGTTATAGTTGAACAGAGAAACTATCTCTAGTGATGGTGATAATAAATGAAAAATTGGTTGTTTTTTATAGTTACTATTCCAAATAGACTTGAGTGATCGTAACTCTTTATCAAACATTTATCAAAAAAAATTTTGCAATGGGTTGTAATAATTCAAATTTTAGATTTTTATTAAATAATAAATTATTTAAGACCAATAACCTTTATTAAAAACTATTAAATAAATTTATTTATCCAAATATTATATTTTACGTAATAGGTCATGTCAAGCTACCTCAACTAATAATAGCCCACCATCACCTCCTGCATCCAAGGATTATAGGATTTACTGGAATGTTCCATCAGAGTCATGTAACAAGTATGGGATATATTTTCCCGAGGTTAGCAGCAATTACGGAATAATTCAAAATTTAAATGACACGTTTAGGGGTAACAATATAACCATAATGTATCATCCTGGGAATTTTCCTCGTTTATTGAAGAATTCAAACGGTAGAAAAATGTTAAATTTAATTTGACATCCAATTATTATGTTTAATAACTAACACTTTCAGGTTCCTTTACTATCATAAATGGTGGAGTACCTCAAAGAGGGAATCTGGACGAACATTTGGAACGCTTTAGAGCGGATCTCAGAGAACAAACTGACCCCAACTTCTCTGGAATTGGAATAATTGATTTTGAATACTGGAGACCCATTTACAGACAAAACTGGGGATCGGCTTTAGTGCACTATAGAAATTATTCTGAAAAGCTTGTACAAATAGATAATCCATCTTATGATAACGACACTTTGAGAAGAAGAGCTTCAACACAGTTTCATATTGGTGCAAGACTTTTTCTAAAAACTACCATCAGAAATGCTAAGAGACTTAGACCTAATGCTTCCTGGGGTTTTTATAATTATCCTGAATGTTTCAACTTGTCACCTGGGCAAAGAGATTATCAATGTGATAACAGACTTCGATTGGATAATGACAGGTCATTAGCATATGAATTTAAATGTAATTTTTAAAATATTTTTTGAAAAAGCAATTGTTTTAATAGATTAAAATGGCTTTGGAATAGTACTGATGTTTTATTACCATCTCTTTATCCATCAAAAACGTTATCAGATGAGGAAAAAATAGGATGGATCAACGGACGGTTGGTGGAAGCACGTCGTATTGCTGATAAATATGATAGACCTTTGGAAATTTATCCTTATTTCTGGTATAAATATAAGGATGCTCCAGATACTTTTGTTACAAGAGTAAATATTTATTTATTTTGTCATCAATTAATGTTATGATTTTTATTTCTTGTTTGATAATTATGTTTTTTTTTATTACAGCGCGATATAAATATTTCATTTGAAGAAATTTTGAAGCACAACGTAAGTGGTCACATCATTTGGGGAAGTTATCGAGATTTTGAATCAGAAGAGAAATGTACAGAATTTAAAAATTATCTAAATACGATACTTGGACCAATGATGAGAAATATAAAACTTTATGCAGAAGAGAGAAATTCTTAATTGTGGTGTAGAAGTACTGAGTGGTTTTAAAAACCCTGACGAAGTTGAAAAATGAAAAATTCCTATTGGATAGAAAAAAAATAATGAAGTTGTTTCTACAAAAATCTCTCAACTGTACTGAAAAGTCAAGCTTAAATTAGTGATAAAGTCTAGGTATAAAGAATCTTGAAAAACTTTTTGAAGAATATAAAACGACATTACTTCAGAACCTCGATAGCAATCTGATGATCCGATAAATCCAATCAGGTTACTCATCTAACTATACTCCACTTTTTTTATCATCTCTCTTAGTCGCTCTATTTCAAACTCTCTCTAATGATCATGAAAATCCATCGAATATCAAATACGATTTCATCTGTCTTCTGATTGCATCTTGGTGTGACTGCATTTACTTTCTATTCTTTTCAAAATGGAAAAATATTTTTTTTTACTATTAGTTGAAAATTTAAAAACATATCATTATAAAGATTTAATTAAAAGTTTGTTTTCTATTAAAAATAAATTTCAACAAGCATCAATATCTTTTGAACTGAATAAAAAATAAATATACACGGAGAGAATTTTTCACTGCTTAGAAGAAAAAAAATGAAAAGTATACGATTCGAAGTTCAAAGGTAAAAACGTGTGTATACAGAAGTGAATTTTACTTACAGTAACTCGAAATTCACTTGTATATATCCACATTTTATTTCGGAACAGTAAAAAGATTCTTTCCGTGTAAAGAGCATGACGAGTTCTGAAAGACCTCTTCATATTTTGAAAAACAAATTATTGATTGTATTTGTTGGTAATTAAAGTCGACTTTTAAAAAAAATATTATCTAATTTCAAAGAAATTTCTCCTAAAAAATACCGTTGGTAAATAATTAATTAAAATAATGACTCGATCAAAGAAATCATAGATGTGTTTTTGTTGCTTCAGAACCTGAAAGATAATTAATTACATAATAACAAACAAAAACAAAAAAAAAAAGGGAAAAATAGAGGTTTCTGCTCGTTTCTCAAACGCCACGTGTTCACCGTCATTGCCTATAAATGTCGCGCACACGTGGTGACGTCCAGCAGTGTGTGGTAATTTTAGGAGACATGGTAATTGGAACGATGCAGAACAGAGAGACCGGTTCTACCAACGTCAACTCCCTTAGTGTTGTCATTGCCCCATGAGTACAAGAGGGTATTTACCGCAGCGAGTTTCTCGAGCTATATGCGATCAACGTTGCTGCTGCATATCCACCAATTTACTCCTACAACCTTGCCTACACTCCACTCGTAGCCGAGATTGTGTGCGGAGTTTCGAATTGTTGAGAGAAGCATTCTGATTAACGCGCTCACCCGATTGTTAAGTCTAGAATACCGAGAAACGTGCTGTGGAATCGATGGATGGCCAAAGGTATTGCTTCGATAAGCATCAGAGATCCTGGATATCTGTACAGCATCCATTATTCTTACTCAATACCCCTATCGTGATATTGACATTTCAAAGAAGCCAAATATTTGTCCACGACGAGCTTGAAATCATTCCACCATTTAGTCTATTTATTTTTAACATTTTCTTTGGTAAATTGACGAGCAAATATATAAGGTGAAGCCATCTTCGTTGTTCTGGGTGTTGATTTTGAGAATGTTGGCATTATAATAGATATGCTGGTTTATATGGAGGCAAAGAGGAGAATGGTTTTAGGCGGAAAAGCCGCGTGACAGATGCCAGACATTTTATAGCGACATACTCGAGTATACCAGCTTGTCCGACACTTAATCAACTTAAGGTACCGGAACGTATCGCTACGCCAAAAGCCTCACCGAGACCTTAATGGCTTGCGTGCGGATCATACTTTTCACCCATTTCTAAAAAGACCCATTTTATCATCATACTATATGCTACATCGTCCTATTAAATTCTTGTAAAAATTTACAAAGATCAGTCTAGCTTTTTGTTGCAGCATTCTTATTAATGTCTTGTTGAAAAATGCATAAACCCATTTTGCTAACGAATAAATTTACATGCTTGCATGAAATATCTTTTCTATGCTTCTAAGGTATTTACAAAATAAAAATGAATATTTTTTACTAGTTAATAGAAAAATGCTTCTATTGTTGATGCATCGTTCGTTAGAAGTAATTAGATTAAAAACGTTTTGATTCAAAATTTTTTGTAATATATCAAGTCTCTCTCGATATTTGAGAATAAATATGTTACATATGTCGTGAATTTACAAATGGAATATTTTTAAAACAAAGATCTGATGTAATCTGGACATTTTTTTTCCATGTTCATTCATGAAGGTAGTAAAAAAGATAAAATGCAAAATTTTATTACCAAGGCAAAGTAAAATATTGCATTTTTTGTTTGAAATATATTCCAATAAAAATATCATTCTTGAACACAGCAGCTAATATTTGAATCAAATTAAATTACTGGAAATATTAATGGGATTTAATTATTAATAATCGAATAAAAAAATTGAAACTTGTTTGAGTTTAATTAACTTGTGAGAAAGTAAAATGCAATAATTAAAGCTTGATTAATTACACATTGATGGCAAATATATTTAATAAAATTAATGTATCAAGTTTCATAATTGTTCTTGTTTATCTTAATTACGTGAACACTAAAAATAGAAAAGTGGTGTCCACAAAAAGTAGATACACTACTAAATTCCTGGTAAAATAGCTGTTACTAACACCAATTATTCGCATCCTCTGATCTCTGTACCCGGAACAAAATTCCTGGGAAAACTCGTCTCGGGATATTACGTTTACGAGCTGGAGCAAACGTTAGCCTAGTGTGGGAGTTAGTCCCGAACTCTACGAGAATGAATTGAATAATTTAGCTAAGCACCAAACGTGGCCAGTCTCAAACGTACTCTCCAACAAGGATAGAATTGCGACTTGAAACAAATTCTGTTGGGACACGACAGATACTGTGACTTCAGCTTACTGAAGAAAATTCTTTCTGTCCTCTTATCTTACACTTTCTTGAAACTTCTAGACTGGTTGTACATTTTACAGAAGCACCTAAGATCAACTTTTTTCTTCCGAGTGTCCTTTAGAAGATAAGCACTGTAATATTTCTTATATAAAAAATCTTTTATAAATTATAAATAAATGCAAGAGATTATCCTACAAAATTTATTTTAAAAAAAGACTAAATCAACAAAAAATAAATTCTAAATACCTCAGCTCTAGAATGTCTGAACAAAAAAGAACTATTCTACTTAGAAACATTTTTTATCGACTAAAGTAGTTTAAGGTATTATTGAGAATAAAATAAAAGAATAAATTTATATTAAAAAATTCTTAGTTAAATTTCACAAGATAGTTAGCTGCTAAAACTATTTATTAACAAATATTATTAGTGAATATCTTTTAGAGGTGATGCTCTGTCTATCTAATGATGACTCTGTAAATTAATCTGATCACTTTCATCATCAAATAATATAGACTAATATAGAGATAACCATGATTAACGGAGGGGCCAAGGTTAGTCTAATATTGAGCCAATCTCGGTCAATCTTGACCAATATTGAACCAATATTGGCTCCTTTGTTTTTCCTAACAAGGAGGAGTACAAGAAGCCTAACAGTGCCTTCAGGCATGATGATTTCAGGCGTAAATTCTCAATCGGAAAATATTTTCATGCCTTAATGAATATTATAGAACAAAAAACTACCAAGTTTTATGTAATAGAACGCTAAAAACAGCTACTACTTTTTCAAGTTTTTTTTTTTAGTCAGTAAAATCTGCTTTAAACAAAAACCAACAGAAAAAGTCCACAGTTGAGATTCACATACGTTGAAAACAACGATGAAATTCTGAGATTAAAAAAAGCTGTTATGCCTTTCATAACTATTCTACCTCGAGTTTCCTAAAAAATTCATCTTGATCATGAATATGAAGAGTAAAACTATTAATTTTACACAGCCATAATTTCAAAAGAAATATTTCCTTAATATATTTTGATGATGAGTCTCCTTGTTGATAAAGAAGAAAAACACTAAATTATATAATTTATTAGGTGGGCAGCAAAAAGACATCCTGACTGTAATTTATCATTAAGGACCTCGAGTCCATTGCATACAAGGACTATAGCATTGCAAGTACGTATACTATCCTGCGTATTCAAGGACAACAGAATTGTTCTCTACTCACTACTCAGACTAGAGTTTCTCCGGAAACTTGTCTGAAGCATGACTCGTGGTAATAGTTTCATCGTGCATAATTATCCTTCCCTTTCCGGCTCTAATGTCGCGTTAACACGACTCACACATCCTGTCTGTTGCAATAGGCGAGTTCAGTACGTGATTTCCGCTTAAGATAGGCACTCAGAGAATGCAAAACTTTCCTTTGGAATTCTAAACTCCTTTTTCCGTCCTCTGTGTGTGACCACTTCTATAGAAATTTTTTCCATCTCTAATTGCATGCAACATGTTAAAACTATGAGATTTATGAAATTATTTTTACAAACTCTGTGAACTGGGTGTGAGTAATTTTAAAATATTTGAATATTAACCAACACATTTATATATATTTGAAAAAAAAAAAAAACTTTTTTATAATATTTAAAAAAATTTCCAACTTCGTATGGAAATGCTTTCGTGATTTTAGTTAAAATACTTTATATTTAATATAAATATATATTGTTTTTACATGTATTTGATTTTTTATTTATTTTCATTTCACTGAATGTTTGTTATTTTTCGGTATTTGCAACTGATGTGAAAACCCAGGGCTGTCTGGTAAAATAAACATTCACCAATGCTTCATAAATATTAGATCGATATAAAAATGTATTATTAAAAGAAATTATGTTTTTTATTCCGAAAAAAACAAAAAAATCGGATAGAATTTTTAGAACGTTTTCATTAAAAATGGAATGTTGAACTTGTTTTAATTTTGAAAATATCTCTGGAAATCTTGTTAGAAATTACTCAATAAATACGTATTGCTCTTTATAAATAAAATAGCAACATTAGAAATGGAGGTAAGAACCTCTCGATTTTTTTTTTCATTTGAATAAAACAAGAAATAGCAAACTCTCAAAGTGTTCTAAAAAAACATCCAGATGTGTATTTCTAAATTATTCAAGTAAAGAGCAATATCCTTTCTTTTCCATTTATTTCCTGCTTTCATTACACTCCAAGTATTTTCCCCTCAATTTAACATGTAAATGAGTTCTAAAAACAAGCTCTCGATTTCCGTAAACGATTAATTTACACTCGAAAACAAAACTTCTTAATACGTGAGAATTTTCATATTCTATTTTGAGCTTTTATCTCTTTCATTTCTTTCCTTTAACACAAAAATGTCCATTAGTTAGTGAAGAACTCTATTAGCTTGGAAGAAATTTATTCAATGGCAGAAATAAAAAGAGAATTTATATTCAAATGATGTATAAAAATATAACTGGAAGAAAAGTAGTATAAGATTTTGTTTCTTTGTCTTAATGTTAGCTATCGACATGTAGACTACGTAAATGTTATCTAAGATCTCTCGGGCTAATCTTAAATTTGTTCAGATGTGTACATTTCAGCAGGAAAAGCCTTTAGGTTAGCTCAGAGTACATACGAACGCCAAGTCACGTTTTAGATCAGATTGAGTGTGCAAATGAAGTATGAAATAGGAGTTTGACAAAGGAGTAACATATCTGCGTAAGCTTTGGTATCAAAACCCTGCTTTGAAACATGCGATACTCAATTGATTTCGATCTCCCATTCGATTTAGTTTCAATTTACATCTCGCATTTTATCAAAGCAAAATCACCAGATGGAGCTTTCGAATTTCCCCTAAAGTGTCTTCT